CATTTCCAACAATTATTATGATAATGGCATTACAATGCACACTAGTAGTTGTCAGTTAATTCCTGTAAGTTTGGCCGAGTAAGGGGAAGTTGTAGGGTCTCTTACCTGTATATACAGGCCTTGTCCAGATCCATCTGTGTCTGAGGTTCAGTCGTTGGAGGGCTGCTGGAGCTCCCCATTTCTCCATTAGAAAAGCCCTTCTTGAATTCACTCTGCGACTGCTCCATCACCTGCATCTGTTCCAGGGGACGGGCAACAAACAATAGATTTATGTCAGTAGTAACTAAACGTTTCATTATTCTATGTTAAAGAGCTCTCTCCGTCAGAGTACAAGAGACAGGTTGCTCTAAAGCAGTGGTCTCTAACCTTTTGTGCACCACGGACCAGTAGATTGTCTGACAATCTTTTGAAAATATAAGATCGGCATTAAAAACGGTTGTATTTTCTTTATAATAACAATAATAATAATGAACGTAAATCCACTGTGTATTCATGTGAAACTTTATTAGCGGCGTCCTCCTAATGTCGCACCAACAACAGAACATGAAGACCCAAATTGAAGACACGTTTATTCATGACCCGCTGGTGCCCAAACACACAATCAGCCTGTTGTGTGTATATGTAGATTATATATTATATATGTAAGATAGATTTTTACTAAATGTTAAATACCATATCTTCAAACTCGTGTCATTTGTGTTTTTAAAAATAATTCTTCCACCATCTATTCATTCATTGATATCTGCATGCTGCTTTTCATTCAGCCTGTTTTTCAACTGAACAGTTCGACTTGGTGTTTTTTTGGGCTAAGCTTTTGTTCAGCCTCATTTTTATAATGGAGGCTTACCTATCTAAACTCGACACTTTTTCCAGATCGGACTTGCAATCGAAACAGAAAACAATTATTTTCTTTACATTCACGCATTTGTCAGGCGCTTTTGTCCAAAGTTGCTTACATTTTAATGAATGAACACATTTCTTTTCAGTTCCTGCTTTCCCTGGGATGTGAACCCAAGACCTTTGCATGGTTAGCTCAATGCTCTACCAACTAGGCCACAGGAAAACAAACGCCGGAATTAGGCTGCTACAGACAACGGGTCAGGGTATAGGGGGTAGAAAAGGAACACCTGTACAAACAAGTTATCAATTGTTTTTTCAGTATGCTATAGTTTATATTTGAAAATAATGTTGAAATTAACTGTTGCTAATCAGCTACACTGCAGGGTTCTTATGATTGTAAATCTGTAAAATTGTAAATCACGGCAGAAACGCTCTGCTACCAAACTGACTAATGTTGGGTTATGTTCTGCGTGTAACATGCAGAAGTATACTTTTGGGATTCAGAGAGGAAGCCGGGGTATGGAGCTTCCTGTGAGATGGATCATGGGCTTTATTACAGGACTGAGTTTTGTCCTCACACCTACCTGCTGATGGTCTCCCTCTTGAAACTGGTCTAGGGACACAGACTGAGCAGCCATCACATCAAAAGTGACCACACTTGGACATTATATGGACATATATGGAGATGGGAAGTGCCTAACATACAGACTTTTAAAAAGGTCTCATCATTTACAAACTGTATGGTCCTCATGAACAAGATTCATTCATCACTGGGTGCAGCTGATTATCACGTCAAAGAGAAGAGTAGATGTATTGACATGGAAATGCAATCTCGTGTTTTGTAACGAGCCATTTCCCAGCTTCACACCACAATTCTTTTTAATCTTTCACAAGCTGTC